TTTTTTTTTTTTTTTTTTTCGCCATCACAATGTTTTCGAACTTTTTTTACCTTTGTGTGAGCAGCGAGCTCGCGAAATCATGATCGGCACTTGCACGCACGTGGTTTCAAACAGATAGAGTTCGAAAGAGTAGCCGAGGATTCGTCTTTGTGGGACTTCGTAGGAGCAGTAGGTCCTGGTCACAGGGTAGGCCCTTGGCTATGAAGTACCGCCATGAGGAGTCCCACGAGTGCGAGATCCGACGGACCCATCGGGCATTCCGAAGGGCAGTGTTCCAGATTGGCGATACAATTGGTAGGAGGATTTGCCGCAGTACGAGCAGATTGGTCACAACATTGGGCGGAGTCCCACGGGAGGTCCTTGCCTGTGAGGTACCACGGTGACCATGCTGCACCCCACCAGTGCCAGATCCGATAGACCCATCGGGCATGCCAAAAGGCAGAGGCAGTGTTCCAGGTCGTCGGCGATACAATTGGTAGGATGATTTGCCGCGGTACAAATTGGGCCTTTGGCCGGGTCCCAGGGGAGGTCCTTGCCTGTTAGGTACCTGTGAGGTACCACCATGCTGTGTCCCACCAGTGCCAGATCCGATGGGTCCCACCAGTGCCAGATCCGATAGACCCACCAGTACCAGATCCGATAGACCCATCGGGCATTTTTAAAAGGTAGTGTTCCAGGTCGGCGGCGATACAATTGGTAGGATGATTTGCCGCAGTAGTATGAGAGCAGACCGGTGACAGACCTCCTATCTGCTCTTTGTGATCTGGACACTACCACCATTACAGCTGTATTTGGTGCAACTTTCAGCCCAGATACGGCAATAATTATCCGGCGTTTCTATTTCCGTGAAGACGGCGCATTTTTTTATTTAGGCCTTCAATGGGCCCAACTGGGCCCAAATGAAGTTTGTGATATCCTCAGCCTTCCGTTGTTTATCTGTGATCCATCTGGGGCCCGTTGGGCCCAACTGAAGTTTTTTAGTAGGGGAAATTGCATCTGCAATGAACCCGGACTAGAAGATACTCCGTAAGACGTCGGTCGAAGTACAGGTAGACTCAGATCTGCACAATGTCTCCAATCAACCTGAAAAGCGATATCTGATACAATGGCCGTGGCCGCACGGCACACGAAACGAACAACGAAACAAGTGCATCTTCCTGCAGAAAATGGCCAGGTTCGTCGGTTTGCTATAAATAGTAATGACTGTATCTTGCCACCTTTCGTGGCCAGATGCACTCGTTTCGCCGTGTGGCGAGGCCCATTGTCTGGTTACCAAATTGAATAGACGAAGAGACAAAGAGAGTGGAGGGGCAATAGACAGAGGAGAAGGTGGAAGAGAATCAAGAGAGAATCAATGACCACACAAGAGTAGCCCAATCAATTCCCTCTCCTTCTCAGGGCTTCCCCTCGCCTCCACGTCGCCAGTCAATAATATACAGTGACAAGTCTGGCAAGTCCTGATCAAATAGAAGTGCCACGTGGCTGGGTCGTTACCTTTTTTCTGTGTCGATACTGTCTCTACTACTGCCAAATTTATCTCGTGGAGACCATGAAGATAACAACAGTACACGACAGTATCGACGTCAACCTCAGGTGAGTACCAAGTGCCAATCTTCCACGGATCTGGATCTCCATCCTTGTCGCAACCAGTGACCGCATGTAGACAGCGTGGCCAATGCCACGTCAGTAGTAGAGACAGGTGGCATGCGCCACATCAATAATGAAGACGTGTAGCAGCGCCACATCAGCAATGCAATGTCGACAGGTGGCAGCGCCACATCAGCAAGATAGACAGGTGGCAGCGCCACGTCAGCAATGTCTGGCGCACAGTAGAGAAAGCGCCAGCATTCTGCCACAGTGCCGCGTTGTCGTCCACAGTGCCAGCGTCGAGCCAGCATTCTGCTAGCGTCAAGGCAGCGTCAAGGCAGCATAGCAAGACTGAATGTTGGACCTCCTGGAGACCAAGCCTTATGTAGTATATAGTATTTGTCGAGGCGGTCTGGCCTCAGGTCTCCCTCCCACAGTCGTACAGATTGACTCACAGCCGAGGGCCTGGATTGTATACAGTAGCAGACTTCCCTTTGGTCCTGATGCTGTCTGGGTACTTGCATACAAACAAGTGTGTGCGTCTGACCGTCGGCCTGGGCTGGGTACACTTTGATTTTGACT